CCTGCTGATAATAGCTCACCTTAACTGATCACTCTCGTTATAGTGTGTAGGGTAACACCCATTGCTTCATGTTCTGTGTGTGTGTGTGTGTGTATATATATATATATATATCTTCCTACTGTATTTTCCACTGCATGCATCCGATGAAGTGGGTTTTAGCCCACAAAAGCTTATGCTCAAATAAATTTGTTAGTCTCCAAGGTGCCACAAGGACGCCTCATTCTTTTTACTGATACAGACTAACACAGCTACCGCTCCGAAACCAGTCTGTTTGTGGAGGCCTTTGCTGTCCTACCAGTGCGAATGCCATTTTGGCGCCGATCTTTGTGCTTCGTCCTCGTCTCTCCTAACCACGGGAGGGGTTTCAGTGTCTCTGGCTGTGACAGACACAGCAGGGACAGGGTCACTGGGCACAGCTATGAACTGGGAGCCGAATAATGAAAAGATTTTTGAAATGGGGGTTTTAGGGGAATGAATCGTTCCTTGGCTCAGTCCATATCTGGCACAGCAGCTAACTGCTCATTCACAGCAGGTCCATATACACAGAGTAATGCCCTCTTCCCATTCAGACAATGGGTGATCTAGGCCGACGTTTCTCGGGCAGTGGTTTGCTACTCCAGGTGACTCACGACAAGCCGTAAGATATTACCAGTTTGTTTTGAGCTAAAGCAGTGGTTCTCAAACTGTGGGTCATGACCCCGTTTTCATGGGGTCACCAGGGCTGGCTTAGACTTGCTGGGACCAAGCCCCATTGCCCAGGGCTGAAGCCGCAGCCCAGGGGCTTCAGCCCTGGGCGACGGGGCTCAGGTTACAGGCCCCACCCGGGGCAGCGGGGCTCAGGCTTCGGTCCCCCCACCTGGGGGTCGCGTCGTAATTTTTGTTGTCAGAAGGGGGTCACGGTGCCATGGAGTTTGAGAACCCCTGAAAGCAAAGTCTCACTGTCCCACTTCCTGCCACGTTTATCCTTCCAGGTCAGCAGTTCCAGCCCCACCTCCTCCTCGCTCCTGAGACCCTGCTGCCCAACATGGCCATGTTCAGTCACTCATTAAAGCTGTCAGACTGTTCAGTGTGTGGACGTTTCATTCTTGTCTCACCTATTTCACACCTTTCCAGGTGTTGTTCCCTTTCCCCAAAGGGAAACGCCCCCCTGAGATCCGGATTCACTCTGAATCCCCATCAGACGTCATAGCAGGAGTGAGTCAGTCACAGGGGTCACCTGGCTTCAGTGTTCCACCATTTCCAGCTGCATGTTGGGGCTGGAGGCAGCGTCCCCCTGTCGCTAACATGGTTATGGGTCTGAAATCTCCCCACGGCCCGTCAGAGACAAACACATACCTGTGTCGCTCCCCAGCTCCAGTCGCAGCGTCTCTAGGGGAAGGAGAGGACGGGAGAGGTGAGAATTCAGGGGAGGTTCCCCTTGATTATTAATGTAACTGCTGTTAACTACGAGATGGTGACAGAGATCAGAGGCTAATAACGCAGCCGCTGCAGACAGAGCCAGCCCCACGGGGCTACTCCATGGGGAAGGGCGACTCGCTGAGCTGGGCTGTGAGATGGAGCCCGGGGTCAGTGACATCCCTAGAGTCCCCGACTCCTCCCCAGGGCCAGGGCCGCTCTCACCAGAGGAGACGCCACCCCCAGACTCCAACTCACCTTTGAATCCCAGCAGCACCTCCTGCAGGTGGGCGCTTTGCAGAGAGAAATTGCAGAGTCTCTTCTCCAGCTCTGCAAACCCCGGCTCCGGCTTCGGAAACGCCCCGTCCTCCCTGCTGGGGAAAGGAGGAGGGGTGAGAGATGGGCCTGATCCCCCAACCCTGAGCCCAGCAACCCCCAAACTCCAGCAAACCTGGGTCTGAGCTTTGTAGCCTGAGGTGATCACGGTTAGAGTGAGTCGCCTGCCCTCAGCCCTGTGCGCTCCACGAAGACGGGACACCAGGAACGGAGACCGGTTCAGGGGCTTTCTCTGGGACACTGGTTCTGTGGGGTGCAGAGCCACCCCCTGCGCTGGGTTACCCCGGGAACAAGGGGCATCGGCGCTGGGGTTACCGGGAAAGGAAGGAGACATGGACCAAAGACTGGACGTGTGTCTCAGGCTCATGGTGGCCCCAGACAGAGCCCCCTTTAATGGCAAAAGCCCAGAGCCTGTCCGCTGAAGCTGTATCCCCGGGGTGTCCGACGCATTTTTCAGAGAGGGACGTATTCCACGGTCCGTGACGGTCAACAGGCCAGGCCGTCGATTTCGGACTCCCTACGCGGCTCCATTCAGAGCCGGGCACCCCCTGCTCTCAGTGGGACACCCAGGCACAAATACCAAGGGGACAGTCTGCCCTTCGGAGAGGAAATAACCTTTTAGTTACCTGCATTTATTAAATCCTTTATTGTCACCGTCTGTATCACTCTGTGGAAAAATAGCCGTCCTGCATCTGCTAGCGCTCCTGCTTTCCCCATCCTTCCACCCTCATTTCTCTATTTGTCTCTCTCCACTGTCTTCATGTCTCTCCTTTGTTCTCCCCACCCTACAGAAACCCTTTTCCCACCTCTCCCTCCAGGGCCCCACTCCCACCCCGTCCCCGTCTCCCCAGTGACCAGCCATGGCATATTGAATGTTGACATTAAAGCGTCGTTATTTCAGCGGACGCGCCAATGAGATGAACGGAGGACAGGGGAGTTCACACCCGTCTCAAGCACGGCTTCCGGCCGCTGGCAGACACAGAGAAACAACAGCGTCCCCGTGTGCATCTGGGAGGTTTTTTTTTTTTTCCAACCATGAGGCCTAGAAACTTACGATAACACGGAAAGCTGAGATTCTGCACACTGGGAATACGTGAGGTGGCCACATAAATATGCCAGACAGGCCGGGTCTGGCCCATGTGTCTGACCCCACTCATTAGCTGTCTGCCCCATGGTGAGGCAGCCGCTGGGGGAGACGTGATCACAGGCACCGAGCCGGCGTGTCGCACTGCAAGGGCAAGCTCCCTATTTAGTGCAGTTTCCAAGTGTAAGTGAGCACGAGGGGCAGTGAAAATGGAGCCGGGGACTCACCTGCTCCCAGGGCTCCCGGCAGCCTGGAGAGGGAGAGAAAGGAGAGGCCGTCAGGGGGGCGTCCCAGGCAGGGGAGCCACCATTGGAGTCTGGCGTTTGGGGCATTTCAGACACTCGGGGTCATGTTCAGAGAGCAGCTGCCGCCCCCCAGGAACCCTGCTGGGACGTCGCCATCGGGGGAAAGTTTCTGCCCTCGCACTTTACAGGAAGAAAATATTCATCTGCCTTGAGAGTGAACTACCACTAGTGCTGAGAGCCCCACAAGCCCCCTACCCCATTACACCCATTCACTGGGGTGACGAGGGGCCTCAGGCTTGGCTCGGGGCCTCGGCATGGCAGGGAGGGGGGGGTCACCCTCAGCCCAAATGCAGTTAGACATTGGCAGGGCATTTACTGTGGGCTCTGCCCCTCCCTCTGCCTCACTTTCCCCATTTGTCCCATAGGGATAATGCCCTTGACCCCCTTTGTAAAGTGCTTTGGGGTCCGGGGCTGAGACGCTCGCATAGAAACGCTGTGTAGGATCATTGCAAGGACAGTCTGACCTGCAGGGACTGGCTCGGCGGCCGCTGCCCCTCGTCTCCTCCTCTCTCGCTGAGCAGGGAAATCTCCCGGGACAGGCTGCAGACGCCCTCATCCCTTCTCTGGGCAATGGCTCTCTCGAGCTCTTCCAGCCGGGACAGCAGCCGCTGCTCCTGCTCCTCCAGAAACCCTCGCAGCTCCTGCCACTCCCAGACGATCTTCCGCCTCTCGGCTGCCGTCTGTTTCTGCAGCCACAGGGAAAGGGTGGGTCGGTACCGGGGGAGAACCAGAAATGCACCTCCTGGCGAGTGGGGGAGATATTTACCAGAGCACAGGACCTCTTGCAATGGGGGATGGGAAGTTTATTTACCCCAGGAAGGGAGCAGGGCCGGGGTGAGCTGTACATCACTCACAGGGGGACTGTTCCCCCCAAAACCTCATCAGATTGCCCTGGGCCAAACCCTCCATCTCTGCAGCCCACATTTCATCTCCTTCCCCCCTAGGCGCTAGAAAGGATCCCCGGTCGCTGTGACATGCAGCCAGCCCGTGGGCAGGGGCTCTGGGCTCACACAGACGGACCCTCTCCTGCCCAGCAGCCTCCTGCCCCCTAAGGGCATCATGTCACCCCCGTGCCTGACCCTGCCTCTCCCAGGGCTCCCGTGGGGATGGGTCCCCGGCTGAGGCGGGCAGGCCGGGCCCTGCATTCACCGTCACTCGGGGCTCTGGGACCCCCGGCAAACCTGAGGGGCAGGGGCCCTGGGCACCTACCAGCAGCTCCTCGCTTTGCCGCTGCTCCTCGGCTTTGGCGGCTTCTCCCTCGTCTTGCAGAGGGGCCGGGTGCTCTGGTGGGGGCTCCTGGAAGAAGCGGGGGAGGGGGTTACACGCCGCTGCAAAGGGCTCCCGTCCCGCCCTGCAGATGCCCGACAGGGTCCCTGGGACTCAGATTTGAGAGGGGGAAATAAAAGGGGCCCAGGTTTCCCAGGGAAAACACAGGACCCCGTGGAGAAGTGACCGGGGTGCAGCCCAACCCTGCAGCCCCCAATGTCCCCTGCGCCCACCCACCTCCCAAGCAACCAGCTTCAGACACTGCCCCCAACTTCCCCCTCTCCAACCGGCCCCCGGCCCCACCCACAGCCCTCACCATTAACATCAGTGCCGGATCCGAACCTGGAGCCCCCGCAGCCAAATACCCCCTATCCCCAGCTCCCCCCGAGGGTTTCTGGAGGAGCAGGAGCAGCGGCTGCTGGCCCGGCTGGAAGAGCTCACAGACATCCCCAAATCCCAACTCTGCCCCCCACTGACACCCGCCAAGACCCCTCCTCTGCCACTCCACTGACACCCCCAAACCCCCAGCTCCGTCCCCCTCACAGACACCCCTAAACCTCCAGCTCTACCCCTGCCCTGAACCCAAACTCCCAGGTCTGCCCCCCACAGACACCCCCCAAACTCCCACCTCTT